TGCCTGAGAGGACCTTGTTGTTGTAAATAACGAGTAAAACTAAATTCAGTTGCCGATCCAACTACCTGTATCGAAGTTTTCGAATATTTACATGGCGCGTGGCGGAGAAGGTGTCAAAATGCTTTCGCCGTATCAACTCACACACATTGGATGTTTTGGCATTCCTTGGTATTGTTCTTTCGAGTTATTGTTCACATGTTCAACTGGGGGCTAGACGCGTAACTCGCGGTCGAGACTAATTCATTGACTGCGAGCTGAAATAACCAGGGTTTATCTGTTCATACGTTTTTTCATCAGTGACTAAACATCGAGCGCCATGTTTTCTACATTATCTGTATTACCTGACCGAACACAATGAAAATACAATAGCGTCCTTGTAGAAAATAATGCCCCTTTCCCTCTACGGAAATTGTTCTTCCCGAAATGGGATTTAGTTTGTCGATCCTATGTTCTTCTTTGTGTATTTGAATTTGATATTTTATCAGGGGGAAAATCTTCTCTGAGAGGTTCTCCACACGTGTCAGGGGGAAATCTCGTCTCGTTTCTCTATCGCGTCCCCTTGAGGTACGGGATCGGGAAAGTCACTTAAGCTTTTACAGTCAAATAAGACACACACAATGAAATACGTTTCAACTCTCGTCTTAGTCGGTCAGTCGAGCACTCTATAAGACACAGCGCCCTGGCGAAAAGTCCCCAAGACTATCGCAAGGCTGACCCAGGACTCGCCCAAGACTGCGTCTCAAGACTCGCTCCAAGACTGGACTGCCTCAAGACTCGTCTAGCCTCTCCAAGACTGCGTCTGTCGTTGTGTACTCGCCAAGACCAACTAAAACAACTTTATTCATTTTCAAAACTCTAACCAATTACAAAGCAGTATAAAGACTCTAAGGCGTAACCTTCAATCATACAGCCAATCAAACTAAGTACTGAATACGTCATATCTTTTGATTAATCGTTCACTACATTAATAACTGCGAATACTAACTGTCAGAAATAGTAGTCCGAATAGCGACGGTTATCTCGTAATTAGTTCCAAATCACTGAGTCGAGTTCTGTCCAGAACCTCGCCTAAACGATGACAGACATAACACAGCCATTCACTCGTAATCAACTAATTAAGTCGATTAACAGATACGCAAAAACAAATTCATCACAATTTTGTGACACAAAATATTGTATAATTCTTCAGGGGCAGTGCGTTATGTCGCATCTGTTACAGTGGTGAGTCGGAGTTATCGTACTAGCGGATATGAGTTGTTGTTCATTGGCATGGCAACCGGTTGCCACCATGCTGCATGCTGTGTCATGAATTTTGAAAACTGGGATTGATTTGCATGGTCGTAAATTAGTCATACAGGGGAAGACTATATTTACATTTTTTCTGTAGCAAACCAGCGAGGGTAGTATAAACCGTACGTTCTTCTATTTTGTGATTTACTTTGACATTCTTTCACACGGAATAGTAGGTAGACAAAATATAATATGAGAAATAATTTGTATGTACTTTCACAAAGAAATTATCATAAATTTTATACATAATATTGCATTTTTAGTGAGTATTGTGCTAAGAGGATCAATTATTGTAATTGCATATTTCCAGTTTCATTTGTTCGACAAGGTTTTTGACTCCCGTGTGCGAAGCACAAAAGGGAGTCTTTGCAGTTACCC